GGGTTCTTGTTAGTCATTCCATGTGGTTTTCTGATCAGTACAGTTTAATATGACATACCCCCTTAATTTCTCCAGTACCTCTGTCTTCATAAGATGGGTTCTGTTGCTCCTCAAAATCCTGGTGTTAACACTCAACTGTAGTTTCTATTAAATGATCTTCTTGACGAAATCGGCTGTTGTTTATGTATTTTTCCAAATAATTTGCAGGCCACATTCTTTGGTGGTTTGAGTCCTGAAGTCAGAGGAGAAGCATGGAAATTCCTGTTACAGTACTTTCCATTTAGTTCCACGACTCGGCTAAGAGAAGTGCTTCGAAAGACGAAAGAAGAAGAGTATATGAAAATAGATCACATGAGGTGAAGCGAGTTTAAAAATATACTAACTTGAAACTCCAATTCCTGAACTGCCTCACATATCTTCACAAGTTGATGGCCTTTTTTAGCTATTTGCCTGTGGGTAGAGCAGACACTTATTTGGATGACAACGCCCTCCACCTCTGCAAGGGGAGTGCATCTGACTTAGAAAACAATGTCTGCTCCCTTACTGTTGAAAATAGCATGACCTCATAAACACAAACAAACCTTATCAGTGTATGCTTTCTAGGCTTTTGTACATTATGCTTTTGCTTCCCTACTAAAATGCTCCACCTTAATGCTCCATTTTTCCCACTAAAATGCTCGGTCTCCCCAAAAAAGTCACTAAAATGCTCGGATAATGCTCATTATACAAACGGTTTTTTTTAAAATTAATTTCAAAGTTTACACTTACAAAAACGTGCAAGTGTTGCAAGTAACAACGACAACGTGTACAAGTTCATAAATACAGCCAAAAAAACAGCTGTATTAGGTTTTTTGTGAATTTTGAGTTTTAGTCTTCATTTTGTTTAAAAAAGCGGGAGCTCATGGGGCATGGGCTCCTGAAAAAAGTTAATTTCTATTTTATTTTCTCGAAAAAATTAATTTCCAGGGAAAATGCCACTAAAATGCTCGAATAATGCTCAATGCTTTTGCCTCACTAAAATGCTCAAAAAAATGCTAGCATAATGTACAAAAGCCTAATGCTTTCAGTACTTGTTGTTTAATACGTTGCTTTAAAACTGACTTTCTTTGCAACCTTTTGTTATCATTTGTAAACCTGAGTGCAGCTAGTACTGTAGTGCCTTATGATTTACAGTTAACCTATTAAGTCCCAATGGTGACCAACAACAATTTTCTCCTAACAATATCCATACATTGCCAAGAGATTAGGTTATGAGAATTAATAAAATGATCACCTAAGAAGAAGTGGTTTGATCTTTTATCAAATTCTGCCTACTCATTCTTTAAAGAAATATATAGAGATCAGTTTGGAGAATTTGTATGTGGATATTGTGGCTTAAAGGGTTAAAGCACTCCTAAACATTTTTCACATGAAGTGGCCACTTATAAAAATTCATAACTATTTTGCGTTGACTAAGGACACATTTTTCATTTATTGTTTTATTTTTATTTTATTTTTATTTTATTTCATTTGTTATTCCAAATTACAACAACATTACAATTACAATTACATTATTATTATCACAAACCAGACATGCACAAACAGACTACACACCTAAGCACACATGCAATTCCACAATCACACACAAGGTATGCCTACTGTTATATTACAAGTGCTATTCAAGAAAGAAGAAACTAATCATTTTTGTAAAAGAAGACAATGAACCAGATTACAAAGTCCATTTTTCCATTAATTTTTGTAAACTCTTATTCTTAGTGGAAATATATTTTTCTATTTCATATTTACCGTTTACTCTAACTATAAAACTGGAGAATTTGTTTTTGGATATTGTGGCTTAAAGGGTTAAAGCACTCCTAAACATTTTTTACAGGAAGTGGCCACTTATAAAAATTCATAACTATTTTGCTTTGACTAAGGACACATTTACATTTTGCAAAGCTGGTCTCCATGAGAGGGTCTGAGTTTGATGTAACTGCAGGTGGTCATGGGTGAACAGCTATACGTAAGATGAGATTGTGTTACCAGTACCTGTTGCTGTGGTAACAAAAGTTGTTCATTATTTATATTATTTGCTTTGTAGACAAAACAAAAGTGAAGAGGAACAACACAAATTTTGGAAAGCTGTCCAGTGTACTGTCGATAAAGATGTTGTGCGCACTGACAGATCACATCCTTACTTCTCAGGGGACAATAATCCCAATGTGGCCATAATGAGGTATTAATATTGGAGTGTGTTAAGTAAGAACTGTCAGGGCTAAGACCTTGAGGTCATGGGCCAGTACACAGTAAAAATGAACAATGTTGCAAGAAGTCATATTTGCACTATTTTTCATGACAAGACCAATAACATTCATTCAGCAAGTATTGGCATTTATTGGAGACTTAACAGATTCAGACACTTTCAAAGCATTGCCTTTAAGAAGAATGATAGTTAGATTCAGAAATGAAAGGTAACTGACTCAAAATACTATACACCAATTAAAACCCTGGGCTGCACTGAGAAGAGAAATAATGAGAATTTTAACAGTTGGTTTGATTGATTTTGCTGCAGTTATTGTAAATTGATAAATACAATTCAGTTTTAAGTGGTTTCAATCTAGTTTTACTTTGAAATTGCATGTATATGTTTCTGATTTATGATCTTGAACACAAAACTAAAACTGCTGCCCCACTATTAAATCAAGCATTCAGTTGGCCATTCCCCAGGGTTTGACAATAAAAGACTTGGCATTAATTGATTTCATTGTTATCTTGTCTCTGACAGGAATATTCTTTTAAATTATGCTACATACAATTATGTAGTTGGCTACAATCAGGGCATGTCTGATCTCTTGGCATCTGTACTAGCAATAGTACAAGATGAAGTTGATGCTTTCTGGTGTTTCGTCAGTTTAATGGAAGGAAGTGTATTTGTGACATCGCCAAAGGATGATGTTATGGATCGACAGCTGGTAAGTTCACAGGGGTACACATAGCTTTTAAAATAAGCACAGAATACAGGTAAACAGTTCATAGGCAGGTGTGCCAGAATGTTTTTAGTGGTTCCTTTCAAGAGTAAAGCCACAGGGGTGTCTTTTAGGAACAAGTCTGTTACACTCAGTAGACTCTCAGTGGCGGATCCAGACCGTCAGATAAGGGGAGGCCTACTCTACCAGGCCCTGAGATAACGGTTGGGGGGGGCAGTCTCAAAAAAAATTTTTTCAGCCCTTGGGACCTCAGTTTGGTCTAAAAATAAGGGGGAGCCACTGACATTATCATATGTCCGTAGAAAATGTATTGACAGTACGAGTGTACATGTTGTCAATAGCAAAGCCTCAACATTACACACATTCTTAGCAAATGTATAGAGAAAGGTAACTGCGACCTCTTTATGGTCACAAAGGACAAGTATTGGGGATTTATGAAAATTTACTTACTTAGGCCCCATTTATATGGAGAAAAGTTGTCCCTCCCAGCCAAATCAACTGTAGCAAGCATTTATATGAGAAAAAAAAACAAAACTGAACTTCTTGTCATATCATCTTTACACGGTGCTCCACCTCCATTGTCACATATTCATGTTTGTAATGAGAGAGCACTGGCTTCACCAAGAGTAGGTAACATTGGAGTTCTCTTCGACAAAATTAATCTTTGAGTATGAGTTCCTGACAGTAATGTGCAAATTGGCATTCTGTCATCCCCGTAAAATTAGGCTCATTCGTACACATCTCACCTTTGATGCAGCCCAGCTTCTTGTTCAAGCTCTTTTTATATCAAAGCCTGACCACTGTAATTCATTACTACATTGTTTACCTAAGCACGTGATTAAACAGCTCCAACGTGTGCAGAATGCAGCTGCTCGTGTTGTTACTCTTTCACCCAAGTTCTGTCATATTACACCTGTTCTTGCGAATCTCCACTTGCTCCTGATTGATCTTCGGATTAAATGTAAAATAGTTACTGTTACTTGCAAGACTCTCCATGGACTTGCTCTTGTTTATATTAAAGGTCTTCTTCAAAGTTACCTCCCAGCAGGGGATCTTAGGTCTTCAAAGAAAAATCTACTTGCTGTACCTGCTTTTATAACATAAACAGTTATGGCCGTCATTCTTTTTCTGTTTCTGCACCACTTCTTTGGAACAGTCTTCCTCAGCATATTAGGGATGCTGGATCACTGGACATTAAATTAGATCCAGCATCCCTAATATGCTGAGGAAGTACAGTTGAAAACTGCTCTTTTGAGACTCACTTTTTTAAATTGATGACTTGACTGTGGTGTTTTTATATCTTAAGTTATTTTATCTTTAGTTTTTTTAGTTTTTAAGTTTTAACTTTTACTGTATTTTTTTAAACTTATAAATAGCACCTTCGGACCCTGGGAAAGGGCGCTTTATTATTATTACCATCATCATCATTATATTTATCATTATTAGTTGGCCTTACTGGGAATGACTCTTTCATGGGAGAAGGGTGAGCCAGCAAGGAGGATCACCCTACCAGCCGAGCCAACTGTTTGTTTCTCGTTTAAACAGTTTGCCTGCTGAGTAACATTTTGACTTTTTTTCAGACGTATTTTCGTGAGTTGCTTCGCATGCTGGAACCAGATTTCTACGCGCACCTGCTGCTCCAAGACGCCGCTATGGACATGCTATTTTGCCATCGATGGCTTCTTCTCTCATTCAAACGAGAATTCTTTAACGAAGAAGTGTTAAAAATGTGGGAAGCATGTTGGTCTCGCTATCAAACTGACTATTTCCATATCTTCTTGTGTGTTGCCATGGTGCAAGTGTATGGCAAAGTAATTGTGGAGATGGACATGCAAGCTGACGATATTTTGCAGTATTTTACAGATCTATCAATGAAAATGGACGGGACGAAAGTCCTGCGAATTGCTCGTCAGCTTCTGTTGAAATTCCGCCAGTTGCCTGGGATACCGTGCTCCCTTCGGGGACTTCTGTCTGGACCAGGGATCTGGGACAGTGCTCCTTTACCTGTTATTCAGTGTAGCTGCCACAATAGATGCTTGTACTTGTTTGGCGATAAATCGGAACAAGAACTTGAGGAAAGAGAACTAGTTTCAGAAAATGAACAACAAGTGTCTGTGGAAGCAGAGGAACAACCTGAACAACTAGTTCGTGACAACGATAATGTAGAGGAAGTTTCTGTAGAGTCACAGAATCAAGTTCATGTATGCCAAAAGGACGATACATCAGAGTTAGAATCGTGTGACCAAGACAATAGCAATTTCGGTTACAATGGATCCATTATAGCACGGAGAGAGGAAGACATTAATTTAACGCGTGGTGTTGCCGAAGGTGCTGATTCAAACGCTGATCAAAACCAGTTTGAAGAGCCGGCTCCTGAGGAAGAAAAAGAAGAAATTAGCAATCCATGACCAATCGTGCCATAGTCCCGGTTCTCGAGAACGCCAATAACACTTCCGGCCCTTAGTTATAGTTTGTTTTTTTAGCTCATATTTGTGTTTGGAATAGATAGTCGACTTTTCCTTTATTTCTTGGCATTTAAAAATCATCGGTTAAAAGCCTCTTGACATAACGGAAAACTTGCTCAGGACATGCGACGGAATTACCCCCCGATTCGTTCCCTTTTCATCCGATTGGTTTGTCTTGGTAGTAGCTGTGAGCTATACAGCTGATTCGAGAAAGACTGACGGACTTTGACTTGAGGAAACCAAAAGAGTACGCGCTATTATGAAAGGTATCCTGAGCTGTGGTCTGTCCACCATTGATTGAGCTCTTCAGAGGAGGAAAAGATAGAGGAAAGGAAAAAATATACCATAAACAAGATCAAAGGTTTGCAATCTAGATACGTCGCGGGTGTGAAAATTTATTCTGACGGGTCGTGTAGACTTTTGGCTTTTATATGACAGCCTTTCTTGAATCAGCGGTTCATATCACTCAGTAGAACACGTCGACTAAATTTTAGTCAAAGCGCGAGAGGACAGTATCGATTATTTTGTGAAAAACCAAACCTTACTATCATTTCTATATATCCAATATCCTACGGTTTTTGTCTCGAATATGGAATCTCGGTATTTGCTAACCCTTTGTGACATTGTTCACTAAACTGACCTTGCCCCCCCTCCCTCCCCGCCTCTTAGAGGGTGTGGTCTGTAGTTCCTAATGGCGACTGTCATTCGTTCCCAGTCGCTCCTGGGCCTGTAAAATTGGTTGAGATTTACAATCATATTTAGAAATAGTCTGCAAGAGCCAGCTGGGCAGGTACTTAATATCGAGTCTTAAGACTCGATATCTTTTTCACCGCGTGGAACGTGATGACAGCAATTTTTTAAATACATGTAATAATTCGTGAAAAGTGCGAAGGGTAAGTAGTTTATTGTACGTGAATGAATTTCTAGTTAAGGGTTCACTTCCTTTGTCTTTCGGCATGGTAGACAAGTGTACAATACGAAGTTTTAACTAGAACCTCTGGTCTGAAAGAAGGAAAATAAAACGCTTAAACTATTTAATGATTGTCTTTTGAAAAGGCTTTTGTTTTTCAAGATGGCATTTTGCCTCACAGAACTTAAGTCCTTTCTGAAAGTGGCGACAATACGTTTTCAAAACCCTGCAGTGAGCTCTCCACCGGGTCGTCAGGACAGACAAGCAAAATTACCTAAGCGATATAAAAGCAATTATTTAATTGAGGGCGTATCTTACACACTTACAAGGATCACTCTAAATTATTGTCAAAGCGAAATATCGCAGGCAACAAAATAGCGGCCTCAAAGTTTCCCTCCCCGATTTTTTTAGGGGAGAGGGGGGGGTCTGTACACAGGCAACAACAAAATAAAGTTATGGGCTATTGTTACAAGAGGCAGAGCTACAGACAATGTAAAAGGTTAGCACTTACCTCCATTCTCCAAACTGACATGTACCTCTCGGTGGCTCGTACAAGACATTTCCCTTTTCCTAATTGAAATTTCTGTCTTGAAATTTCTGCCTGATAAAATGTTCATGAAAGTTCCAGGATAGCACGAGCAGGATTCGGATCCCAGGTCATCGGATCTCATTGCAGTTAGCCTGCGTGGCCGACGTTTTCTCCCGCGAAAAAATTCCTTTCCCTTCCCCTTCAAACGCCTGCCACGCAGGCTACGTTGCAGTTCACCACCCAAACCACCAGCTTACCAAGGATTTGCTGAGAAGACGAGGTTTGACTTGGCAGTATATCGCATCAACCTTAACCCTAAATAGACGCTATCCGTTTATCGAGTCAGTACTTAACCCTAATCACTATTCTCAGGGCATAACCTTAATCAGTATTGATAGTCAATACGCCACTTCTACATTTCCCATAATTCACCTTATTTGCCCCATAATAGACAAATAAAACATCAAGCAGTGTTGGATTGACAGTCTGGCAGTTTATTTATTGACAGGTGATGATTAATTTCGAAACCCGCAGGCAATCAAAAATATAATCACAAACCTCTACTGAGGATGACCAGCTACAATAATGCAATATACAATGAAACAAAAATAAGAAAGAAAATAAATGGGTGGGTGGGAAGGGAATCAAAAACTAGATCGAGCTGGCGTAGAGCGCGAGGCGAACCGAGACTGATTGACCCGTAGCGCGGCGGGTTAGTGAGTGCAATCAAACGGAAGTGCGTCACTTAAGTGTCAATTATACCCAGATAAACCAAGTCGTTTTATCTTACCTAATTTCTCTTGGGACGGCCCATCTAAAATCTCCTCTTCCCTAGCCCCTTAGGAAGGCCTGATACTCAGGCTAACGGCTGTAATACCCAGGAGAAATGAAAAACAAAGGCTATGCATAATTTGGGGGGCAAATAAGGTGCATTATCAGGGGCGGATCCAGGATTTTTTTAGGAGGGGTGCACTCGTCTCTTGCTCTACTTTAACACCAATAGTTTAAGTTTAAGTTTAATAATTCTTTTTACCAATGTACAAAATAAAAATATATATACATATATTAAAGTACAATAGGTAAAGGAAAGCAATAGGGGGAAACTGAATTCCCATACAGAAAACTGCCCTCCAAAACGAAAAGATAAAACAATTAAGAATAGAAAACTAATACATAACTATACGTCACGTGATACTAAGAGAAAAAACAAACAAACAAACAAAAAAAAACAACCAAAATTTAGTTGTTTTTGTTTTTGTTTTTTTTTTCTCCCTTTCCCCTTCCCCTTTTCTTTAATAAACTACTTCAGGAGCCCATTACTGAATTTCCTGCTGTTTGATGAAGTACAATAGCAGTGTCATGTCGTCGTTGTGATTGGCTCAGTTCCCACCGTCGGTGCGCGAAGTCTCCCCTGGGAACTTTTCTAATTATAAATCTACTCGGGAAAGGGTTGGCTCCAAGGGCTTGTATGGGAGATGGAGGCTCCATTTGATGAGCTCCTGGCTACTTAGATATTAAATAAAAAATAAAATCCAGATTCAGTAGGAAATAATAAACAAATGACTATTTACAAAGATAATTAAGTAATAAAGTTTTAAAAGAGTTCAAGCTGGAAGCAGACATAACGGAGTTTGGTAAAGAGTTCCAGTCATTAACGTAACGATTAAAAAATGAAAATTTAAAATAGTTTGTCCTTGCTGCTCTAGGCCTGATTTTAAAGTCATAGTTTTTTTTGCAGAATACCAGTTGTATTAGAAAACCGCAGGTCATCTCAGGGGGGGGTGCGCACCCCCTGCACCCTCCTCCTAGATCCGCCCCTAATTATGGGAAGTGTCAACGTCATTATGGAGTATGGGGATGGGTATTAACCAACGTAAAACGTCCAAACGCGACTTGCGTCCGCGATATTAATTCTGACGATTAAGCTGCCTATCTTCACATGATGACCAGCAAGCCTTGGAAACGTGCACGACGGTCATTGTAAAACAAAGGAAGTGTTGACAACATATTGAAGGACCGTAGATCGGGAACTATAAGATATCCCTGGAACGTATTACTCGCACGTCATCGAGTGTCCATCTCGCTAACTGATATGACATTTTATTCCGACAGAAGCAGTTAACACAATCAACTTCCACTTGGTGCGCAAGTGATTTCATAATGCCGTAGTGTCTGACCAGAGTAGCCTGAGTATCAGGCGTTTCTGGGGGCAAAGAGGAAAATCTCCTCTCCCCTAGACCCTTAGGAAGGCCTGATACTCAGGCTAGACTCACAGAATCACGGGCGTGCCACCAACTGTTTCTGTTACTTTACAAATCACACTTAGGAGTTTAGATCACCATGGCATTACAATAACACTCGCTTACTCACGCTAAAATATATCAGACATATTAATTTTCTTTTGTGCGCAAGTGATTTCATAATACCGCAGTTTCTAACTCACAGAATCACGGGCGCGCCACCTAGTGTTTCTGTTGCTTTAAAAATCATACTTAAAAGTTTAGATCACTATGGCTTTAAATTGTAAATTTCCACTAGGGAGTCTGATCGCCATGGCATTACAATAACACTCGCTTACTCACGCTAAAATATATCAGACAAATTAATTTTCTTTTGTGCGCAAGTGATTTCATAATACCGTAGTTTCTAACTCACAGAATCACGGGCGCGCCCCCTAGTGTTTCTGTTGCTTTAAAAATCGCACTTAGGAGTTTAGAACACCATGGCATTAAAATTGTAAATTTCCACTTGGGAGTCTGATCACCATGGCATTACAAAACCACTCGCTTACTCGACCTAAAACATATCAGACATATTAAACATTAATTTTCTTCTATGCGAAAGTGATTTCATAATACGGTGGTGCCTAACTCGCAGAATTACAGGCGCGCTACTTAGTGTTTCTGTTGCTTTAAAAATCGCACTTAGGAGTTTAGAACACCATAGCGGCAATAACACTCGCTTACTCGAGCTAAAACATATCAGACATATTAATTTTCTTTTGTGGCCAAGTGATTTCATAATACCGTGGTGTCTAACTCACAGAATCAGCGGACGCCACCGGTGAAGAAACTGATTGCTTTTCGCAATAGGAGGTTTATTGCTTGTCACTCAAAACCTAGGCTCGATTTCCGCCGTCTCCCGGGTCCGGTCTTTGATCCCCCCCGAAAAGAGGGGATGAGTGCGGGCTCATTTTCCCGAACAGCGGCTGGTAATCGAGCCTACTCAAAACCTAGCGTCCTTAACAACGCCGGCGTCACGGGGTGTGCAAAAGAAAGTCGTATGCGGTCCTCATGATCTTTGCAGTTCTCGTTCCCTGGTTTACTGATTTAGCGAGAGAAAATTCATAATTAATGACTAATTTCATATGGACAGTTAAAAGGCTACTTAGGCGGTCGATTAACACTTGTCATTTCAACCGTCAGTCAAACACACTAGTCGCAAATATCACTTGTCAGTTAAATTTTGGGCCACTTGTCACTTGTCACTTAATTTAAGCCGTTTGTCAGTTTTCAGTAAACCAGAGTCATTAAATCTCATCCAAACCAATTATTAAAATACATTTAGATAAAACATTTAAAAAATTCATGTTAAAGATAATCAGTCAATCATTTATCAATTTATATTATTTATTTTTAATACGTAAGGTTTTGGAGACATGTCAGTCAAGAGACTCGATATCTGAGAAAATAAGTCGTGTCGTACGTACACTGGAGACCGCTTTTAAAGAAAGACATAAATTGTGCCATACAAGGTACGTCTTAGCTAAGCCAATTGTCGTGCCAATAGTCATGTGTTTCTTCGGCATTTTTTATCTAGCTTATTGGGTCTCTTATTATTCACAGTCCCTCTTTTTAATCAACCAAAATGCAATGACCATCAGTTTTATTCTGTGAATAATGCAAAATTTACTCGTGTTTCATTCTGGCAAAGGTTGTATTGAAATTTCCTGGTTGAAAGGGAAAATTGACTTCGATGGTGTTATCAACGCTCAAGTGTGTGGGGATATTCGTGGTTTCTTTGGCCTTCGTCGTGCTTGTCAATATTGTTCTCCAGTCGAGATCGCTAAACATAAATAGCAAGGTAAGCCTTCAAATAAAGCACCACTGATACTTTCCAGCAACAAAACATCCGTGCATAACTGCTAAGCCATCGTTTTATAATTAAGTGTAAAAATCTAACGGGGCATGATTTATTTTGGAGACATGACATTTTAAAAAACAACAATTGGTAATTACGATATCCTTTTCCGACGTCGGTTAATGTTTCTAGTTGCCGAAATCAGGGAAAAGACAACAAAACAGTGAATTGCCGCAGCTCTCTACTTGGTCAAAGGGACTACATGTATGTCACCACTGGGGCTACGCGAGCCAATGAAAAGAAACTTGTGGAAACGTCGACAGCCCGACTTTTTCAAGCCATGTTGGAGATTTTGGAAGGCTCTTTTTATCCGTTTAAATATCAGTCATCGTTTGATAGTTAGGGCAGTTTTGTATTAGGAATCGTTTTATGGTGATTACATAAGACGTTTTTGCGTTGTTTTTGAAATTGTTTTTCCTTAGAATTTCTTTTAGGTGGATTTACTTTGTCCTCTTGTCAGCGACCGTTGTACTGGCAACGACCAAGAGAGAATTAAGGACTGCTACTTCAAAAAGAGTGATAGAATATTAGATGGAGCAGAACCTTTCTGTTCAGTTATTTTAGAGGCTTCTGGCTCTTAGATATGTTTTTGTGTATGTGCTCAAAGTATGTGGACGTATAATGAAGCGGGTATATCGAGTTGGCGGCGGCATTCTTCATTAAACGATTACAACAGAATGGCCTTGAGTTTCCTGACGAAACTCAACTTCTGGCGAAGGAAACTCTATAGAATCTGGCTAGATTCGTTCTTGCATTTAGGGACTGTGCAATAATTATCAGGAGGGGGGCTGAAAAACTAGAGGGGGGGCATTACATAAAATTGCTGCCAAGATAGGGGGGGCTCAAAGTAAAATCACTCATTTGACGGAGGGGGGGGCCTTAAGTTTTATTCGAAATGTAAATAAAATTAAATGCAATAAAAGATTCTCAATACAGGCATCATGATAGACTGTAAGAAATATCAACACGAACAGCTGTCAAATGATTATTGAAAATATTCCATCAAAATGAAAAGCAAATTCACAACTGACTTTTAACCCGTCTTCTAATTAATTGAGCTGATCCTATGTAAAGCAAAAATCATGAACTTGTTTTTCAGCTTCCCCCATAAAACAATGGGAATCAAACAGATCTCGTAGACAAGCTTTGTCGGTTTTTGATGTGAATAAAAGTAATGTTTCTTCATCGACTGAATCGATTTGCTGAGTTCCATATATATGTGGCTCATAACAAAGTTCAACAGGCTCTCCTCCCAAGGATCTAAATATAATGCAAGCTCTTTTTCGTCTGTTATGTGAAGCGTTCAATCTCCTGTTCTTTGATTTTTTTCTCTGCTCCTTTCTCTTTCTGGCTTCAGAAATTTTAGATTTTGAGCCAATGTGGTAAGCACCCCTGTACTTAGCAAATGCTTTCTCTAAATCTTCAATTTCAATCAAGCGATCAACATCCTTTTCGATACTAGATGTTACATAATAACGTTTGTTATTATTGAAGCTGTGATGGCAGCTCAGTCCAGTTTTGAGTTTACCAGTGTTGTGAGAGGGGGGGTGCGACGTTATTTTTAACATAACAGAGGGGGGGGTAGAACTTATTTTTTTTGTTTTGGAGGGGGGGGTACTGTCTAAGTTTTTGCTAGATAACTCTAGTTTTTCAGCTCCCCCCCCCCCGCTCCTGATAATTATTGCACAGTCCCTTATCTTGATTCACGACCGTTTGCTTGTCCAGTTTATTCGTAACGGACTTAGAAAGGCACCAGCTTATAGATACAGTGAATGCCATGTCTTTGAACTGTTTGTGTTCGAGTATATTTGCTCGGATTTTTGGAAAACAGCAAAGTTACTCTCCCTCTCGTTATTCTACGACTTCTTAGAATGGAGTAGTATACAAATGATACTTTGTTCTGTTTCTCTCGACGTTGCAGTGATTCGGCACGATCAAACAATTTTGAGCGATAATAATAATAATAATAACAATAATAATCCTCAGTTTATTTCGAAGGATAAAATACATATCCTAAGTTACAATGAAGTCAACTATCATTATAAAACCTTATTTTTACGCTTAATTTAACCTATTTACAAAAGTTGTACTAAAGCTCTCCGTGTTTACTTTTGGCAAAAGGCACCCTACCATGCGTAATATATATTTCGTTTCTTTTCTCTCTGGTATTATCCAACTTAGGGAATGGCTTAGGGGATTGATTTCCGAAAAATAGAGCGTTCTTGGCTTTCAAGTAGACTAAAAATGTCTACTGGAAATGAAATGAAATGCCGCTTATGAAATCTCTTCAGAAAACACTGAACTAAACTAAGATCTGAGTCAGAGGCGCTATAACACACCAATAAACCGTACAATACATTTATCAAAACAGTGGCCTTAAACATGTGATCGATTTCATCCTGGTTGTATTGTTCTTTGCGCGATGTCTTTAATACGTGCAAGCATTTGTTTGCTGTAGTTAATTTGATGTTGACATGACTGCTAGACTTTGAATCACCCTGAAAAATTAATCCTAATAGGCAAGATCCTTCAATTGGTTGATGCCACTAATGGGTGCGTACGTACGGACTACCTCATCATTGTTTTCCTTCCTAAAAATAAGTTCCCTACATTTACTTGGATTACACGACATGCGGTTATCTTTGAACCACTGATGTTAAAAACTGATTTACTAGTTCGGGTGATGTGTCATGATTGTATCAGACAGGTGCGACTAATGTAGAATCATATGCATATTTAAATAAAACAGGATCAGAATTGTGTTCAATTTCTAAATCATTAAGAAAATATTAAACAAGTACGACCCGCTCACGCTATCCTGAGTGGTACCTTTGTGAAATTGTGATAAATGTGTGTTTCCCGAAGATCAAAAGCAAGACATCAAAGACACAGCGTCGCTTTTGTTCTGTTAGCATAAAAGTTTTAAAATAACTGAGCGACAGACAAGTCTAAATGTTAGTGATTTGAAACAGTCTTGGTCTTTATCTTTGGTCTAGAGTCTTTTGTAGGTCGTTCATAAAATAAAACTTAGATTTATTATCTTGATTAGCAGACAATAATGTTGTTATTGAATTTTTGTTTGCGCACTACAGTAAAATTAGCCTAACACTTTTATTCTGGACAACGAAATTGAGAGAACTTGATCTAGAATAATAACCAGTGAAGAAAGATTCCCTACATTCTATCAAAAAATCCATTGTCCGAACCCAATTAACTTGTAAACGTTGCTGTAAATTTTCGCTTTCTGTACGTGAAAGAGAAATTCACACCTTAAAAACAGTAGAATTTTGACAGATGTGATTAATTTGTATAACCTTAGCGCGCATGCTCGCCAGTTGACATAGCTCTTTTAAGTTAAAATCCCCTTGACTCCCGCTTCTCTCTGAGCAATCCCACAAGTACCTGCACCTGCACGTTCGACCCAGGCCATTACTTTTTTCCACTGCGAGCTATTAAACTAAATCACTGCTATTTCATTGCTTTTTTTCTTTTTTTAATCAGGTTTTCCAAGGGTATAATGCTTCTCAGGAAGAGGTGAGGAGTAAAATGTTACAATTTTCTTCTTAACCTTCTCTCCACGTGCTTGTATTTCAATAGCTTAGTCTTACCCAAAACAGTATTGCAGATCGCGATCATCTATGTATAACCCATAATGCCAATGATGCTATGCCATTTTGCAGATTTTGAGGTCAGTGGATAACAAAAAAAATAGAAATAGAAAGGAAGAAGTCTTTTCCATAGTTTCAGACGTTTTGCGGAGTCTGCGTGAACTATGGAGGGACTTTCATATCACGGAGAGGGAGGTTGTAGATTACCCGACAGAAATTCAGAATATATAAACTCCCAAACGCAAGTGGGCGCTCCATCCATTGAGAACAGAGAGTGGGGAAGAGAGAGAGGGGGGGGGGGGAGGGGGACAGGGAGATAGAGTAGAGAGCAATTTTGAAGGCCATATACTAGGTTCATATGCGTAACTTGCGACAATACTTGTTGTAGGGTTTCACTAAGTGGGAAAGGTGCAAAAGGCTTATATCTGGACAGGACACACTGAACAAGACTGGAACCCTGTCTAATGACTCAGAAATTCTGGGTATCTACAGGCTGGATCAAGATTGTGCGCGTGTTTTACAAACTCGTTTTGTTCATCCTCCTGTGTCAAAAGAAGAAGAGCAGCTACCAATCGCTTTCGGTCTGACTGTTCATAAAGGTGCTTGTCTGCTTGAGCGACTTCTTCGAGCTATTTACATGCCAAACAATGTCTACTGTATTCATATAGATAAAAAGGCTTCAGCGGTCTTCCGTACTGCAATAATGGCCATCATACGCTGCCTTTCAAACGTTTTTATCGCAGCAAACAGTGTTGACGTCGTCTGGGGACATATTACTCTAGTTGAAGCTCAATTCAGTTGCATGGAAGAGTTGCTGAAATCACCAGTTAAATGGAAATATTACATTAGTTTAGTGGGACAGGATTTTCCTCTATATGATAACAAGCAGATTGTACGAGCGTTACAAGGTCTCAACAACACAAACAACATAGGCAGCTTTCCAATGCCTGAGCATTTTTCCAATCGAGTTAATTTTGTTCACATAATGAAAGGCCACGCTGTTCGTAGAACAAACATACCAAAAGTGCCACCACCTCACAATATTTCAATCTATAAAGGATCCACTCATATTATTGCTTTAAGAGAATTTGTCGACTTTGCCCTTCACAGCCAAATAGCAAAAGACCTCTATGAATTCTTAAAGGAAACTAAAGTGCCGGATGAAGTGATATACGCTTCTCTACAACAACTTTCAGAAGCTCCTGGGGGAATCAAAGGAAATCAACTAAAGTGGATTCAACGAGCTATGCTTTGGAATGGTGGTAGAAGTTACCTTCGGGGTTGTCTTGGGATGTGGAAGCGAGAGATTTGTTGGATTTCGCTAAAAGATTTACGCTGGGCTCTAAGAGAAGACAACAAAGAGAAACTTTTTGTTCATAAGATTCCGTTTGACTTTAACGAGGAATTAATAGAATGCATTCTTGTGGCAAGGCAGGGTAGAAAATACGCCACGGCTTTGTGGAAAGGAGAAGAGAATGTCCAGAAAGAATAATGTTCGACTAACATTAAACGGTAAAGTATGAGTTGCCGAATAGTCGTCTGTATACAGCAAACGGAAAAAGAAAATATGCATTTCGAACAGATAGACAGCGATAAATGTTAGGTTATTGAATAGATACCGCTTCGAAGGATAAGATCAGTGGAACGACTAGTTCAGAGTATACCCGAACTTAAGGGAGTAAGGGGGAGGTTATCACTTTAAATTCATGGTTTAAAAAAAAAACGCGAAAAACAAATGTAATAGGCAGATAAAAAGATGTCTCAAAAACATCGAAGCTAAAGTACAATATTCGATAAAAATACATTTTTATTCACGTTTCCAAAGTATAAAGAAATTATTGTTTAGGAGAAGTGAGTAAGTTAGATGCCTAGGGTAACAAAATACAGTTAGGAGTAATGAATTGCGTAGTGTTTAAAATAGCCGTCAAGTTTTGGACGTTAAAAAATAACTGTAAGGTTTTCGAGTTAAGCAAAGCTAAAACTCATTAATAACACACTAAACAACAGAAGCTTGGTTCTCAAGAGCCTGCGAGCAAGCGGCGAGCGAGGCGAGTCGCGAGGTAACCCACAAGCTGGCGGCAATTAGCCGCGTGGGGCTTCTCCTATTTTCTCCTCTTCTTGTTCTCGCGTCGTTTTCTTCCGGTTGCCTCATGGCCTCTTAAGATATCCCTCAAATGGTGGTTCTGACACAACGGGGCCTGAAGACCAAATACTACACGAGTCCGACGTCCTGCATGGATAGCTATAAACTAAGGGTCTGCCCACACTTGGCCGGGAGCCAGTGCCCAGGTACCGGTACAAAATGGTGTTGTGGTCACTCCTTGGGTTCCGGATATCAGTAATTGTGTCCCAGTCAAACCCTGTTCATAATGCGGACACTGAAGGGGCCATAGAAAGTGTCCTTATTAACGGTGTGTCCGTATATAGCGGGTCAAGTTACTTAAGTCACATACACCTTTTTTGAACAAAATACTAAAGAAATAAAACAGGAGACTGGAATTGTCTAAATAAACATCTCTAAACTTCCCAAAGCCTTTATTCCGCGTACTATGTCCTTGAAAACACTCAAAAGTCTCGAAAAGTCGCACATTATATCTTACATAATCAAATGAACCGTTCTCTTCATCCTATTCGGTGTGTTGCAGCTTTGGGAACATCGATATGGTGTCAACTGAAGGTTTTTTTATCTTCAAAATAAACTGAGGTTTTTTCAGTACAGCACACAGTGGAAAATAAAGTGTCCGCATTAGCAAGGTTTAATTTATATGAGAATCGGTTGATTGAGCAAGAAAAAAGTGTCTGTTCCCGACATTAAGGGTGTCCGAAATAAGTGGGTTGAATTTAGAGAAAATGCATGTGAGGGCTTTCTTTCCCTATAGACAAAAAAAACTGTCCGTAATAAGGAGGTGTCCGTATTAGGTGGGTGTCCGTACAGCGGGGTTCGACTGTACATAATGTCTCCATTTCATCCTGTCTGAACCCATATTGAAACCGTGAGCCTAGCAGCGAGTAGCCTGCTAACGACAGACGTTTCTCCTCGCTCATTGCCGCTGAGGGACGTTTCGCGAGGAAGAACGTCTGCGACTCAGCGACAGAAATTCCATACTTTTGACCTTGATTGAAAGGGATCGTGGAAGTACAGTATATAAATTAAATAGAACATATTTGTTTAAGAACGAATTCATGACAGAGAAAGGTCAGTTTGATCACTATTTTAAACGTCGAAGTTGTAACTTAATTCTAAAAAACTAATAAGTTAATCCTCGAGACATCCCAATAAAATATCCCATAATTAGTTAACTTTTCATAGGGTAACTAATAAGAACATCCCCTTGTTTTTAAGCATAAATCAAAATTGGGTAAGAGTAAACTGAATCAAAGCTAAAATTTCGATTGCTTGCATTTTTATTTTCTAACACTTGGTCCGTCAAGAGAAACAGAACGGTATGAAGACTTTTTTTTGTAAATACTCTTTTTTAGTTTTTCAAACCGTTTTGTCGTAACAATGGTCGATCTCTTGAGGTCGATCAATCTATATACAAGTTAAGCGCGGATGTACGTCAAAAATCCTCAAGTCCTCTTTTTCACTTTTCGCTACTCAACAATATTATAATTACGTGTAATTTATTCATGGGAAACAATCAAAGCACACTTGCATATTAGCATATTGACAAAGGTTGACAAATATTGCTAAGCTAAAAATATCGAACAAATTACGTGTTAAGGAAAGCGATTTGCGTCATATAACCGGTCATCCGAGGGCAGTAACTGAGCAAGAAAGAAAAAAGTGGTCACCCAGAACGCTGAGAAAACGGCGTTTTTAGGCGCCAAAGACGATGGAAAACACGGAAGACAAAAGTCCTGTCGCTAAAGAAAAAGCTAGGAATATCATATGCTTTTTTGCACTTGGAGTCTTGTCGCTGATCTACGATGAAATATCGCTAGCTGCCGCTGAGGATGTCTTATCGGGGAGCAAGATAGCTACCACAAATGTAATAATCGCTATTGCCTTGCCCGTACTGGTTGTTAAAATTTCCGCACCGTGGTTTATTCAAAAATGCTCATATTTGTACAAGTCAGGTATAGTTGTATTTCTACTGGTTGCTGGATTGATCGTGATTGTGTCGGCTGAAAGTGTCCGCTTGCGATTGTTCGGCATCAGTATAATCGAATCAGGGGTCAGTTTTAGTGAGATAACATTCCTGGCATTGACTGCAGCTTATGAGGATGTCACAGTAAGCGCGTTTGTAGCCGGCATTGGTGTTGCCTCGCTCCTTGGACCATTGTACTATACAGGTAATTATTATGCCATTATTACCATTCCCCCTCCATATACACCTAATAGACCTTGTCACGGTTTTCGACGCCATCTTGATGAGTAGGCAAACCCGTGAGAAATTACAGTGTTTGTATGAGAATTTAATGCCTAATAATTTCCGTAAAACGGCTGTTTTAAAAAATATATGAACTGTAAACTAAAGCATCACTCTTAAGGATTCTAATGACAAAATTTGAGGGCGTTACATGCGCTAGAAGACCTAGAACCTTTTTCTAAAATTTTCTATCCATTTGTCTGTACAAATTTCCCGGGAAAAATTGCAGACAAAAATATGGAAAATCTAAAGCAAGCTTCTGGAGAAATTTAAGCACAGTAACGGCCCCCAAAATTTGTTGGTAAAATCTTTTGCTGTGTAGCTTTAGTTTACAGTTCATATTTTTTTCAGAACAGCCGTTTTACGGAAATTATTCGACATTGGATTCTCATGCAAACACTATAATTTCTCACGCGTTTGCCTACTGGTCAAGATGGCGTCGAAAACCGTGACAAGGTCTATTGCAATAACGTTGTCATAAATAAAATAAGAGAATTGAAAAAAGTTAGAAATATAAGAAATATCAAGTTAGGACGCTCGTGAAAAATGGAAAAAAAACAGAAAATTGGAAATGAAGTTACTGATAGGGCTAGGGTTTAGGCTAGTTTTAGTTCCCATTTTTCAATTTCCCATTTCTCGTGCCCATTCTCTATAATAATAATAGTAATAATAATGATAATAACTATAATAAGCTTTATATATTTATCCATCTTTTAAAAATATGTATACCCTCTCTATTCCCAGTTCTGTGCAACTTGATTTGCATCATTGCTGAATAATCAGTTGAATAGAGGTTTTGCACGTTTTACTTGACAAGCACTCTCTTGCCACGGATCAACCTGTCATGTAACAAATCAGGCTGTTGTAGTTACTTAGGGTCCGCGGAGAGGATTTTTAAATTGGGGCGGGGTGGCGGGGGGGGGGGGGGGACTAAAGTGATAGACGAATAACTAAGAAAAAGGGGGGAATCGGAAAAATTTTTAAATATAATGTGGAAAACATTTCAAAA